CAAATCAATTCAATGATCATTTCATGCAAATGTATTCCCGATTACTTAATAGCATTTCCAATGATTTCAAAATTAATGTTTTAAGAAATTTGAGAGTTTTTATTGCTAACAAAGTTTTGCCCACATTTGGTGAACGCAAAAGCGATTCATTTGGTGGACTAATAAAGCAATTGAACTCTTTTTTGATAGATTTTGAATTAAATGAGAATAATTGGGAATTAATAGATAGCGTCTTGGAAGTGATTTATTATATATTTCTCTCTATGAATGACACAAAATTGCAATCATTTTGTGCCGAATTAATACCTTTAATACAATCGGTTGACTCGATTTGGGCTAAAAATGAGGATAACTTGTGTTCAACTATAAGATCCACTTTAGTATCGACTCTCATAGCCATTCATTTAAACACTTCTCGACTACAATCGAGTGGATTGCGTGTTGAGACCCACTCTGACCTCCAATCTCTCGCATCCCTATTATTGAGTGATGAACTCGTTATCAGAATTATTATAATTAAAACTTTTGAAGAAAACATCTCTTCTGTGATTGAAATACAAACACGAAATACACATCTTTTTGAATATATTATTCAAACCGTTTGCAGACTTTCTGTTATTGATTTGGACGAAGATTTACAGACAAATGCATTGCAATTATTGCATACAATCTTCACTGAACTGAACCAACAAAACGGATTGATTGAAACAATTAGTTTATTTGTTGATTTATATTTGTTTCACATTCTCTATCACATAATCAATGGATCGGAATACCTGTATAAAGTGAAGCGACAAGTGGTCCAAATGATTGACTATTTTCAAAATCAATTCAAATTATGTGAACAAAACATTGCCAATGCATTAGAGACACTCATTACTAGACAATTTGCCACTTCTTTACTCTCAACTGACCCCCATTTCAAGCAAATTATTTCTATTAATATGAATACAATTTTTGAGTTTATTACTCAGTTTGATACGAAATCTTTTGAACAAAACGATAGCAAAGATTCTCCGAAATTAAGTGTTTTTGAGGACATCATATCCTCTTCTCTCATCACTTCTGATATTCTTCTCGATTGCTATTAATATTATAAATGTTTTGTTAATTTTGTTTTTATAAACTATTTATCATTTTATAATCATTTGCATGAACTTATTAGTTTATATTTTACGCAAATAAAAAATGTATTTAGTATTTGTCTATTCAAATAGTGATCTAATTTAAGATCAAAAACCATTTTAACGTCTGAAAGAAAACGAAACAAAATGTGTAATTAATTCATGCCTTACAGCTATCGTATAAATACATAAAAGTTGTATTTAAATGCAAATCATATTCTGATCGTTACCTTTAATTCCCCGCTTGTGTTGAGCCAAAAAAGTGCTGATTGTTTCGATCAATGATCCAAATTATTCGATAATAGAAGTTTACCACCCAGTCGAGAAACAAACACAATAATAATGTTTGATATGAGATTTATTATAAATTACAAATTTATGTTACGTGTGTAATAATCACGATTTTAATTTTAATTAAGCAATGTTATAAACTAACATTAAATATGTTGGATAATACAAAAAGTTGTAACTAACTAAACAATTGTTAATTATCATCGTTAATTAAATAAATAATCATTTATTACTGATCAATAATTAATAAAATAATTTATTAATTAAACAAACAATTAGTATTTAATTGATTTCTAATAAATTTAGTTTTATGTACTTTTAAAAACAAAACTTATGTATTACCGTGGTTATGTAGTGTATTAATATTTCATTTGTAAGAATTTGACTTCAATTTTGTAAATCTCAAAAAAATGATTTTTAATAACTATAATTTAATACTCTTTTATTTAATAATCAAAACTATGTTATTCTTATTTTATTTACTTTTATACTTCGTAAACACTATAATTCACTGAAGGATAACACTTAAGTAAACAACTTATTTACTGTTTCCGATCCATACTTTTCAATCACAATTTTCTTTTTTGCCTATTTGCCAAAAAATGATTACATTTTCATTTGTTTGAAATTATATTTAATGTTTTTTAAATCAAAATTATTTGAGAATCTTTTTTACAATAATTTGTTATTTTTTCAATCACAATTTTCTTTTTTGCCTATTTGCCAAAAAATGATTACATTTTCATTTGTTTGAAATTATATTTAATGTTTTTTAAATCAAAATTATTTGAGAATCTTTTTTACAATAATTTGTTATTATTTTTCAGATATGAATAATGTATTATTATTGTGTACTTCACTATAATATACGGTTCATTAAGTTTCAAAGTCTTCAATAAGTTATTCCAATGCATTACAATTATTTTGTAATTTTAAATACATTTTTATAATAAAGTTATTTCAAAAGATTTTATTTTCATTTTGAATTAATTGAAAAAATAATGAATAAATGATAAGAAGTTGAAAATAATAGTACAGGTATTGAATGATATAAAGAGTATTTGTGGCATAAAATTAGAAATGAAGCGATGGTTAGGTTGCGGTTTATTGTGTTTTGGTGTTACAGTTATAATGAATTGTTTGTTAGTTTCGATACTTAAAGGTTCATAACTGTTACCTTTGATTGTAAAGAAGATCCCAAATCAGTAAACCTGAACAGTTATCACTTACAGTTCAGGCATTGGAGGTATTGGAGGCAACTTATGAAGCCTTGACCCACAAATGCAAAGCATCTGATGCTTAAGGAAGCAATAGAAGCAGTAGAACAGGTCAGAGGAATACATGACAATCGGTTTGTGACCCAAATTCAAGCACTCAAAGACTCGTCCAATAAATTATTTGCCAAAAGAAGGCGAACCACTCATTCACAAGAAAAGAGAGCGATTGTCTCTTAACCACTATTATCACTATCTTCGGGAGTGTCACCATTATATGAGAGTAACTATTATTCAACACTCAATGCTTTGTGAATACCATTTCAGTCCTTCTGTTAAAGTTTGCAAAACCAGATATTATGACCATTTTATTGAGTGATATTTAAAACCTCATGAAATGAGATGAATTTTAACAAAAATGATTATCCTGTGCCTGTATTGACCACAATTGGCGGTTCAATGGCTGCCAAAGTGCCCACAAAGAGTCGAGTGGAAGCACTTCTAATCAACGAATCTTCGAGTTATTCAATAAAACTAATGATTGGTTTAGGAATCGCTTCGACCACTTGTGGCATAATATTGTGTTTATTTGGTGTGGTTTACGCTCTCATCGAAAATGAGATCACATTAACAGCCGTCTATTGCGAGACATCCATAGGTGTCTGGGTCACTCTCAATGGATTCATCACAATCATGTCTGGGAGTCGGTCCCAGAGTTGGTGTCAGCTGTACGTCCATATGCTGTCATCGCTCATCACAATCGGTGTGACGGGAGTGCTGTCTATACTGATCGCCAATTCTGTGCTCCATTACAGTGAACTCGAGAGCGTATATCATTTGAATCAAACAAATGATACCAAAAACTTTGATTTGGTATCCAATGCGCCCACAGTTCTCATCAATACATTGATGTTAACGTTTAGTGTCTTGTCTTTCATTATATCGATCATTAGTTTTTGCATAAGTAGTCGCAAAGTGTGTCACTGCTATCATCGCAACAAATTTGGACATAATTTCATCAAAAATTGCAATTTAGATCCCGACTCCATGTCCAAAAGGGATCGCATTTTGCAATGGATTGTCCAGCAGTCGGATCTACAGCTCAACCAAAGCCATAATCTTCGCAATACGGATACGATGTGCAACATATCGAAGAAGAAATTAATGAATTTAAACTCAAATGCAACCGATTCTACACGACTGTCCGCTTATGACATGTGAGATAACCACACATCCGCTCCCAAAGTGTCTCTTCACAACATTTACTCTAAATTATAGTCTAATAATTGATCCCTTTTTGCCCAAAAGTCACTATATTTTGCACTCAATTATGTTATAATTTTGTATTCAAGAATTTCTAAACTATTTATTACTCGTAGAAAGAGTTTATTTGACAAGAATTGACATCAATTTATGTTTCACAGAGTCAAGTCTTTTTCATACTATTCATTTCGTGTCTTATATCTGAAATTATAATCATTTGTCAACTATATTGTGAATACTGTAATCAGTTGAGGAACTACTCAAAGAGCAATTCCTCAATTAAACATTATTTTAAATTTCCTGACAAAACAATTCAAAAGTTTGATAATTTTGTAATTAACTTTAATTAATTGATTAATAGTCGTAAAAAGTTATTTAATCCTAAGATAAACCGCTTGTTAATTAAACTTTGCTTGAATTCCTTTCAAGTCTTTTGTATGAAAATATTGTTCATATGATTGTCAGATAATAGACAATAATAATTTTGATAAATAAACTTATTTTTAAAATAAGCGTTTGTTTAAAATAATATATTCATTTGATATCCGATTTAAATGTATACCACTTTATGGACTATTACTTACATTATCTCAAAGATCTACTAAATAACTCATTGATGGTTCATATATTATGGCATACATATAGCAAATTGTGGTCTATTTTCAAACTAAACTATCATTTATTCTATACATGTATTGTATGATAATTATAGAGAATATGCAAATAACTTGTGATAATTAAAGTTGAACTCAAATAGTTTCGTTAATGTGTTAGAAAATATTTAAATAACTTAACTCATCGTTATCCATCATTAATCCTACGTTAAGCCAATAATAAGAATATAATCAATGTTGAATATAATGAATATGATTAAATTGATTGAGTCTAAATTGTAGACTTTGTACAGTTTGTAGTGATTGAAAGTTTTGTATATTCTATGAATACATTGAAAGCAAACAGAGAGTGCATTGAGTATGAATAGAGTAGAGGTATTTGTGGTCTCATATGACAGCATAGCATAGCATTGCAGTGAATGACTCACTCATTGCAGTGACACTCAAACACCCATTTGTGAGTTAATTGTGGTAATTGTGGTCATCAGGAGATTATGAAGTCAGAGGTCAGACAAAGGACTAGAGACACACCGAAGAACCCAAATGACGGACCACTCGATGGACACCACAATGACAAGAAACACTCGGCCAAGAGGTCACCGAAATTGGGATCAAATGCATGTGTGAAGAGTGGTGTGAAGAATATCTTGAAATGGGGTTTAATAGTATTAATGGTTGTATCCGTCATAGTCTTCATCTTGTCTCCAATAGTCTTCAGATACTCATTAACTATCCGAAGACTCTTAGTGTTTATGAATTACATAAACATTCCTCTCTTCAAGAACTTAAGTGATCCGATCAATGAGTTTGATATGAATTGCACTCAAAATATATACTTAACTAATGAAGACGTGAATCAAACCATCCGTTTAGGCGTTTGGCATATATTGCCGAAGAGTCGCAACGATGAGTGTCTTGAAGGCAAGCATTTGGTGGACCCGTCTGTGGCTTTCAATGACAATCGACCCGTTTTTCTGTATCTTCACGGAAACGGCGGCGCAAGAGGTGGTCATCACAGGAGACAGTTGTATGAAGTGCTGACGACGTCGAGTCAATTGGACGCACATGTCGTCACTTTTGACTACAGAGGATACGGAGACTCGACTAATGTGTGGCCAACAGCTGACGGCCTCCGCAGTGACGCCAATACTGTCTACTATTGGCTCTTAAATCAGACGCATATCCATAAGAACCGAGTGATAGTTTGGGGCCATTCGTTGGGAACCGCAGTCTCCGTGCGATTCCTGAGTCAACTGCCGGTCGCAGACAATCCTCGGGCACTCGTATTGGAAGCGCCGTTCACTTCGATCGGCGAGGCTCTCAAATGGCACCCCTTTTCTATTATCTATCGGAACTACTTTCCATTCTTTGACACATTCTTCGTGGATCCGATAGTCAACTCGGATGTGACAAACTTCGACAGCACTTCAGCCCTGAATCGGATCCAAATACCACTGCTTATACTTCACGCTCAAGACGATGGAATAGTGCCCTTCCATTTGGGACACAAACTATACGAACAGTCACTCAGAGATCAGCCCAAGAGTTGCAAGAGAGCACAAATGATTGCCTTCAATGGACAGTATGGTTACGGACATAAATACATATTCAAAGATTTACAATTGCCACAGATTATCCACAATTTTATCGCATCCAATGAATGAGCTTTTACTTAGATTTTAGTCCTTTTATACCACAGAATGGCCTCAATATTAAGCTTATGTTTAATTTTTTAAATTTTAATTTTCGATCAAATTATGAAATTATTTTTAAAATGTTGAGATTATTACCGCAATATTACCATTATATTTATTAAATCTATTATAATTTGTTTTCTATATTCAAATTTTCTAATCGTTTATATTAAATGTAAAAATAAAAATTTATACCAATGTAAAAGTTATAAAAAATATATGGATTAAAATGTCTCTAAATGAGACTTTCGGGTAAATCGAAGTCAAACGTGAGATTTCGCCAATTCGTCGAATGGAAGCCAACCACACATTTCAGTGTCTCGATGGCCGACGGGTTATATTGGGTGCACGTCAAGGGAACTACAGGTCGACCCAGAAGTGTCGACACACACTCAGCGGCACATAAACCGTTGGATATTAAATTGTATCCACCCTTAAGACACACAATTGGTATAATCACTATGTGGTACAATTGAATGATGTCAATACAAGTATAGACTCACTTCCAGGCAAACGATAACCTTTCCATTTGCTAAACGCGACAACATATGAGTCATGTGTCCGAACACTTGCGGCGAGAGTTGGTATTCACCCAACGGGTCATCTGGTTGTACGATATGATTGATTAGTTCCCATTGGACTTCATTTATTAGCGGTATATTGACTCACTTATTGCTGCATCAAATCCGGCGCTAATGAACACCAAATCGGGATTGAATTCATAGGAAACGGGAAGAACAACATTAAAGAAGGCCAACAAATACTCGGACTGAGTCATAGGCCCCCCATTCCACGGGATGTTTACCACATTTTTCCTGATATTGTAATTTGATTGAATCGATTGCGGGAAAAAGTCTGCGAAATCATATCTGTGTAGAGATATGTATAACACTTTGTCGTCGTTTTCAAATATTTTTTGTGTTCCTATAGTTTAAGAAATGAATTCATTTTACATACAGTTAGAGAACATTTAAAGCATACATACCGTCGCCGTGATGTACGTCCCAATCGATTATAAGAATGCGATTCTTATTGTATTTATTGATTGCATATTTGGCAGCAATCGAGACATTATTGAAACAACAAAATCCCGAAGCAGTCGTCTGACTGGAATGATGTCCAGGAGGTCTCACCTATAAATATATTAATTATTCATTCATTTAGCGTTTATTAAATTTAAAACTTTTATAGTGTACTAACGCAAGCAAATCCATTAAGACATTGGTCTGTAAGAACAGAATCAACCACTTGAAGGACATTCCCAACGGCCAGTTTAGCGGCACTGTATGTCTCTCGCGTTAAATACACGGAATCGTATTTATTGGACAGTTTTTTCAATTCCTTATCCGATAAATGTTGAGTAGATTTCATCATTTCTATGTGTTCTTTGCTGTGAACTAAACTTAACTCCTCTTCAGTGGCAGATCTGGTCTCTAAATGAAGGCATTCATCGAATAGTTTATCGGATTTTAACTTTTCAATTATAAATGTGATTCTTGAGGGCCTTTCAGGATGTGTTGTCCGACACTTGTGTTTAGTCATCGCCTCGTCATAAGCAATACATGTCCTCTTCTGAGAGTATTTACGCGACAAATCGGTTATTGCTATCAAACGATTGATTTCATTCACAAAATAAGACTTTTGAGTCTCACTTTGAATGGGATAACAATCACGAGTGGGATATTTGGTGGGCTTTTCGATTAAAGCCATTTTGCCCTTATATTCAATGAAAGGCAAGTGTTCTCTTCGGAACGACTCATTCACCGAATGTCTGTCAAACACGCCCTGCATTTGCAGACACTTCCAATACGGACGCAACACATAGATTACATCCAACACAGACTTCACCAACGAATCCTTCAATGGAGTCAAGTCTTCCATGAGAGGACAGGGATCTCCAAGAAGGGCCCGCAAAGTGAGTGCCGCGCTCTCAGCTAATGATGGGATGCAATACCCGCCCTCTATAACAACGGCCACCTTTCCATTGGCTAATGACATCAAAGAGTGGCATAAATGAGAATAAAGTGCTGGAGTTAAGCACATCTCTCCCTCTGGACAGCCAATGGCCGCGTCATAACCGGCCGATACGATCACTAACTGTGGATTGAATTCATAAGCGATGGGCAGAAGTAAGTTATGGAAAACCGCCAAATAATCCGAATTTTTCATTTCCGTCTCATTCAACGGAACGTTTACATTAAATCCCTTCGCTTTCTCTCCGCCAATGAAGTTGTAGTTACTTTCGATTAACTCCGGCCTTATGTTTACCAAAAGTGAGCACAAGAGGAAAGGGATCAAACATCACTGCATTCTATACTCACCAAAAGGCTCCCATTTCGTAGCGATGGATAGAGAAGTAGAGAACTCTCGGGTCGTCATAAAACGAGTATTGAGTGGCCTTTCAGTGACAGAAATAATCGCTTAGTATTGACTACATTTCAATGAGACAGCAGTGTTAAAAAAGACTACCTGTCCGTGATGTACATCCCAATCGACTATCAAAATGCGTTCCACACCTAAATTGTTGAGACAATGAGCGGCTCCGATGGCAACGTTATTGAAGATACAGTATCTGTGAAACAGTTTTCAAATTACAATTTACACGTAACTCATAACCGATGATAACTGCCTGACCCACAGGGCTCGGAGCGCATGGCGTGATGTCCGGGCGGTCGCACTAAAGCGAAACCATTTCTTATTTTCCCGCAAACGATATCATTCATCAGATCTATGGTAGAGCCCGCGGAATAGAGCGCCAACTCATATGTCTTCGGGTGGAAGTAAACGGCGTCGAAATGCGATGACTTCTCCTCAAGAAGTTCCACGTCTTCAACGTTTTCAGTGCTCTTCATATCAGTTATATGATCGCTCGAATGGATTCTTAAGATCTCTTCTTCCGTGGCTTTTCTCGGCTTTCAATTCAATGAAATTAGTTTTCAAAGTGATATCACTCTCGGATTAACTCACAGTTAATGCCTGACATCGATCTATTAGTTCCAGTTCTTGGAATCGATTCAAAGTATGCGTAAAGCGTTTAGGATTCTCCTCATAGTTGTCGTCCCAAAGACATCGATGTTCTGACATCTCTTCATAATATACTAAACCAGTCCTAAGAGACAACACTTTGTCACTCAAA